AAAAACGAATGAAAACGCATTTAATTAAAAAGGCAGTTTTGTTAATTAGAAGTGGGCTGGTGCGTCTTATTATGGATTTGCAAGAAGTGTGTCTGTGAATAAGTGCCGTAAAATGATCTCATTTTCCCCGTAGATCTGGAGGAGCGTATGGCGACCTTCCATACTGCAGCTGTTATTAAATGACGCTTCCCGCGGGAGAGCCATGCCAATTGTTTCTTGCAGCTCACTTTTCCGTTCACAGAATGCCTGTGAATGTTGTGTATTGTATTAAATCAAATCTGAAAATTGATTTTAAAGTTGTCTGCTATATTCCCCCATCCTTCAGGGTCTAAGAAAAAACTTTACCCCAGATTTACAGATTTAGACCTCTCAATAGAGTCACTCGCGCTCATGGAAGAATGAAAACAATAAATGTGAACTCCAGCCTTCCCTTTTATCTTGCATAGTTGTACAGGCTCCTCTCCTGTACTGCAACAGATTACTTTGATTTCACTGAAGGACATCCATCATCATTGAACCCTTTACTTCCCAGCCTGACTCCCTGGCACACCCTTTCATTCATTGGATTTCAGCTATTTCATTTATGAAGACTCAGCATTACATGTGGGTGTTACCTCAGGTGGTCTGCATGCAAATACAGCCTTCCTAGGAATGTCCACTTCTCCAGATTGACACTATTGAGTCAGGATGGTTTAATATTTGCATAACTCCTCCTAAGAGCCTGCCCACTGTTTGCAAAAGTGGAAGGGAGTGCTGGGGCAGGGTGCTGTGATGTTTTTAGGAAGCTATGCACAGCACCCTGCTAGTCCATCCAGCCAAGATCTGTCTGCATTACATACAGAAGCACAGAGACCCAGTGATAAATGGGTCTTAAATAAGATATGTAATAAAAACAGGTTTTATAAAAAAAAATCATTAGTGTGTTGAAAAAGAGGGAAACCATGTTAAACCTCTGCTTTAAACTGTACAGCTTTACAGTTCCATGGCTTCTCTCTTTACGGTTTAAAGCTGGGGTTTAATATGGTCTTCCATGGCTTCTCTCTTTTCTGTTTAAAGCTGAGGTTTAATATGGTTTTCCATGGTTTCTCTCTTTACGGTCTAAAGCTGAGGTTTAATATGGTCTTCCTTGGTTTCTCTCTTTACGGTTTAAAGCTGAGGTTTAATATGGCCTTCCATGGTTTCTCTCTTTACGGTTTAAAGCTGAGGTTTAATATGGTCTTCCATGGTTTCTCTCTTTACGGTTTTAAAGCTGAGGTTTAATATGGTCTTCCATGGCTTCTCTCTTTACGGTTAAAGCTGAGGTTTAATATGGTCTTCCATAGTTTCTCTCTTTACGGTTAAAGCTAAGGTTTAATATGGTCTTCCATGGTTTCTCTCTTTTCAACACACCAATGATTTTTTTTTTAATAAAACCTTTTTGTTTTTTATTACATTTCTTATTTTAGACCCAGTTATCACTGGGTCTCCGGGGTGATTCACTACTGAATTTGATCCAGCACAGGGAAATGCATTGCATTTGCTATCTGCTTTGGGGTGTTGTTAGGAATATATTGACAACTGCAGCATATCGCACACCTAAAATGAAAAATAAAATTAATATGGTGTGGTGCTACAAAACACCTCCGCCCATTCAATAATACTGGTATAACTTTCCTCGCACATAAGAAACCAATTTCAGTAAGGTGCATCAATCAAATATTCAGCAACTCAGTCAATAAAACTCTATACTGGTAGCTCTTCTTATACTAAAATCATTAGTGTGTTGAAAAGAGAGAAACCATGTAAGACCATATTAAACCTCAGCTTTAACCGTAAACAGAGAAACTATAGAAGACCATATTTAACCTCAGCTTTAAACCGTAAAGAGAGAAACCATGGAAGACCATATTAAACCTCAGCTTTAAACTGTACAGCTTTACGGTTTAACGCTGAGGTTTAATATGGTCTTCCATGGCTTCTCTCTTTACGGTTTAAAGCTGAGGTTTAATATGGTCTTCTATAGTTTCTCTGTTTACGGTTAAAGCTGAGGTTCAATATGGTCTTCTATAATTTCTCTTTTTACGGTTAAAGCCGAGGGTTTAATATGGTCTTCCATGGTTTCTCTCTTTACGGTTAAAGCCGAGGTTTAATATGGTCTTCCATGGTTTCTCTCTTTACGGTTAAAGCCGAGGTTTAATATGGTCTTCCATGGTTTCTCTCTTTACGGTTAAAGCCGAGGTTTAATATGGTCTTCCATAGTTTCTCTCTTTACGGTTAAAGCCGAGGTTTAATATGGTCTTCCATGGTTTCTCTCTTTACGGTTTAAAGCCGAGGTTTAATATGGTCTTCCATTGTTTCTGTCTTTACGGTTTAAAGCTGAGGTTTAATATGGTCTTCCATGGTTTCTCTCTTTTCAACACACTAATGATTTTTTTTTTTTTTAATAAAACCTTTCTGTTTTTATTACATTTCTTATTTTAGACCCAGTTATCACTGATTCTCCGGGGTGGTTCAGACCTGAATTTGATCCAGTGCAAGAAAATGCATTGCATTTGCGATCTGCTTTGGGGTGTTGTTAGGAATATATTGACAACTGCAGCATATTGCACACCTAAAATGAAAAATAAAATTAATATGGTGTGGTGCTACAAAAAACACCTCCGCCCATTCAATAATACTGGTATAACTTTCCTCGCACATGAGAATCCAATTTCAATAAAGTGCATAAATCAATAATTCAGTAACTATCAATAAAACTCTATACTAGTAGCTCTTCTTATACTACAAAACACCTCCCTAATTAATAATACTGATATATCATTCCCCCAATTAAATAATGTGCATAAATCAATAAAATGCAATAATCCAACAATACAAATCGTTATACAGTAAAGTGCATAAATCCAGTACATGATATTAGAAATCTGTTGAGTAAGAAAGTAATAAGAATCTCTGTGCAATGAAGTATATGACTTCAGGAGACAATATTAATAGTCTCTTTTGATAAATTGCTGTTGTGCAAATCAAAGTGCCCCAGTATAAAGTGCAAGAAATTTCTGTTTCCACATTCTCCAGAGCTCCTTGACCCCCTATAAGTGGTTTTCGTGCTTTAAGATGTGTCTCTCCTCCAGCAGCTTCTCCGGATTTGCTCAGCAGGACCACTTCTTCAAAAACTTTCCTCCAGTATGTGAAAAGGGAAGAAACCAGGAGGCAGCCTCCAATAGTATATAATACAACATTTTAAAATACACATGAAAATACATATGAGGCTTGTACATTCACACGCTGCAGCACATGTGAACACTTCATGGGGCCTCCTGTGTTCCAAGGACCAGAAGAATGAAAGCGGAAATGAACCATATGTCATCAGGGACAAGGACAGCTTAGTACACTCCGCTCTCTATATACTCTACAGAGGCCATTGCCCACTTGTGCGTTTTGAATGTGGTGCAGGAAACGCACATGGGAAATGGATTTCCCACACCGTGATCTGGTGTGAACAAGCCATCAATGCAGATTTAAAAACACCAGTAAATGCAGTTAAATGCCAGTTAGAAATCCTGAAACCTGATCTGGCAGATGGGAAAACAAAAAGGTGGAAAGGATGCACACCAGAACTCAGCCACTATATAGAGAGGTAAGTTAGGTTGAAACATGCTAGAGTAGCATAGGCAGGAGGTGTTCAGGCAGAAGCCATATTTATACTTCTCTATATAGTGGCTGGGCTCCGTCATGTGGTGTTTCCACCTTTTTGTTTTCCAATCTGTGTCTGTTACCCTTGCTTGTTTGAACATTGGCACCTGACCTGTGCTTTGGACTACTGGGAAAAGTCTTGCTTTGATTGGCGCTTAAGTTTTTTGTATATGGGTCATACTGATCACCTGACAGATGTCATAGACCTAAATTAATGCAGCTACAGTATGTATTCATCAGTACATCATTAAGGTAGAACTAAAGTCAAAACATTATTTTTACTTTTCATTTTGAATAGGGTAAAGAAGGGTTATAACCCCTGCCAGTTTTTGGGGGTTTTTTTTTTGCTATCGGTGTCCCATTGGGGAACTTTCCCTTCACTTCCTGTCCCATATCCATAACAGAAAGCTTGAGGGAAATGCCTCCAATGTGACGGTGACTGGAACTAGTGTCCCCATTAGAAGATTTCCCCCCTATTCCTTTTCTGGTGACAACCCAAAATTTCGGATTTTTTTTTTTTCGCTTTCCCCTAGTGGAAGCAGAGACAGCAATATAAACCTGTTAGGTGTTTCGAATCTTTCTCCACTCTATTCAAAACTAAAAAAAAAAAAGTTTTGCCTTTAGTTAAATTTGAAACAAGAAGTCACACTTCAATTTTTATTAAAGTGGTAGTATAGGTGTAAAAAAAAAAAACCCTGCAAGATTGGACCTGGAAGCTGATTGGTTACTCTGTACAGCTGCACCAGATTCTGTGTGCACAAGTAAATCTCCCCCATTGCATCAATGGCAAACTGCTACAGACGCTCCTATGAAGCACTATGTAGCAAGAGTGGAAGCCCAGCAGCTGATCATTTCAGCTCCTGGGTTTAGTGCTGGGTCTGGTCTGTCACAGACATTTGAGGGTTCCAGAGTAAAGCTCCTGGTACCTGTAGGAACCACTGCGACCAGCTGTCATTTTATAACATGATTAAAGTGGAACTTTAGTCAGAAAACTAAGTTCTAGATAACTTTAGGCTGGCCCCTTTTTCAGGTATAGCTATGTAAAACATTCTATACTGTGTGTAAAATCCAGTAATACATTGTCTCTCCCTGCTGTGCACATGCTCAGTTGCTCTTTAGGTACTGTATCCCAAAAGGTAGAGGCCGATCTGCTGACAGCCTAGGAGCAGGAGCAATTCTGGAGGCAATTTACAGCACACACTAATTTTGGTAGCATAATAATAATGTGGAATGTATCTTCCTTGCTAACGAACATTTTTTTAATCAAGTTGTTATGGTTAAAGTTCCACTTTAACCACTTGCCAACTGCGCTATAGCCGAATGACGGCTACAGCATGGTTGTCCAGTTCTGGGAGGGCATCATATGATGTCCTCCCAGAACGTGCCCTACTGCGCACTGCCAGCAGCGCACACCCGGCGATCTCCGTGATCGCTTTGTCCTATGGACTCAGCTGATCACATCTTGAGGTAAAAGGCCAAACACAGCGGCCTTTTACCATGTGATCAGCTGTGTCCAATGACACAGCAGATCACTGAGTAAATATAGTTGCCTGTTATTGGCTGCACTTTCCTCACACTCTCACAGCCTGAGGAAAGTACTGCCGATACGGTCAATTGTCACAGAGCAGATCGGCACTGATCATCAGTGCCCAACAGTACCTCCCACCCTTGTCCAGCAGTGCCACCCACCAGTGCCCAGCAGTTGCGCCCATCAGTGCCCAGCAGTACTGCTCAGCAGTTCCGGCAGTCAGTGTTGTCAGTCAGCACCGCCCATCAGTGCCACCTATCAGTACCCATCATTGCTGCATATCAGTGCAGCATCATTAGTGCCTCCTCATCAATGCCCACCAGTGCTGCCTCATCAGTGCCACCTCATTAGTGCAGCCTATCAGTGCCCATCAGTACTGCCTATCTGTTTCACCTCATCAGTGTCCATCATTGCTGCCTATCAGTGCTGCATATCAGTGCAGCCTCATCAACGCACATCAGTGAAGGAGACAAATTACCTGTTTGAAAAAAAACTTTTTCTTTGTTTTTATTATAAAATTTTTCAAATTTTTTGCTCTTTTTTTAAACCTCAGCAAAAAATAAGACGATTAGCGATTAAATACCACCAAAAAAAAAGCTCTATTTGTGTGAAAAAATGATAAAAATGTCATATGGGTATAATGCTGCATGACCACGCAATCGTCATTCAAAGTGTGAGAGCGCTAAAAATTGACCTGGGCAGGAAGGGGGTGAAAAGTGCCCAGTAGGCAAGTGGTTAAGAAAAGTGTATATTGTAAATGATGGCAATCATACTGAAAAAAAGGATTTTGGGTTTACATACACTTTAAGACATCTTGGAGGTAAAAATGAGGGTGTAACAGCGGCTTAGGTCTGCTTTACGGTCATTGCGGTAAAACCCAAGTAACTTGAGCACGTAGACGATAAACAGCTTTACACATTTTTGTTCACAAGAACAATGGCATAATTGACTTGTACTACCTTCATTTGCTGCATTATCTGGTAATGCAATACCCTTGAAATGTGATATTGGTCACTACACTGTACCTGTGAAGTGTTTACATTGCACAATTATTCCAGTGTACCATGGATATAGCAGATAAAAACATCTCATGAGTGTAATTACCATCTCTAATCTCTTTGTTAGGCAACATATTGTGAAATTTATGGTTGAAAAGATGTCAAATAACATTCTGTCTCCTGCATAGTTCCTAGTGTTAATAAGTCACTGTTTGTGTATATTAATAATTAGGATTTCCACATTTTTAGGGGGAAAAATAACATCTTGTAAATTTTGGAAACTTCTATTTTTATAAAATCTTTATTTTGAAAATTACCATTCAATATGTGGTGGATCTATTACGCTGATGTCACAAAGCAGTTTTATAAAGAGAGAGCACATCAGCAGTAGTTTGCCTTCAGCTTTTCTCTAATTTAGACTAAACTGATCAAACAAGGGAGGGGGATGAGTCAGTATTCTTGTTCATTTAGCCATGTGTGTAAATTCCAGCCTCAGCTATTGCACACTGTAAACAAAGATTTTTTTTCTCAGAAAAAGCTGCTAGAGTTGGCCTGGTAAACATACAGAAATAATCTGTCTGTCATGGAGTTTTGGTAGATCCTTTGTGTTGGCAGGAGCAACAGACAAGACCGATGCAGAGCAGTGCAAGTCCTTAGACACTTTGGGGTTGATTTACTAAAACTGGAGAGTACAAAATCTGGTGCAGCTGTTCATATTGGCCAATCAGCTTCTAACTTCAGCTTGTTCAATTAAGCTTTGACAAAATATTCTTGGAAGCTGACTGGTTTCTATGAAGAAGTGCACCAGGTTTTGCTCTCTGCAGTTTTAGTAAATTAACCCCATTGTTTATGAAATGACCAGACAGTGGCAGAGAAAGCTAGCTGACACTTCAGAATTCATCCTGCTGCTTTTGTCAGCAGTCACATCATCAATAAATACAAGAGAACCAGTTCCATTGGCAGCCATACATGCCCACGCCATGACTCTACCACCACCATGCTTCACCGATGAGGTGGTATGCTTAGGATCATGACCAGTTCCTTTCCTTCTCCATACTCTTCTCTTCCCATCACTCTGGTACAAGTTGATCTTGGTCTCATCTGTCCATAGGATGTTGTTCCAGAACTGTGAAGGCTTTTTTAGATGTCGTTTGGCAAACTCTAATCTGGCCTTCCTGATTTTGAGGCTCACCAATGGTTTACATCTTGTGGTGAACCCTCTGTATTCACTCTGGTGAAGTCTTCTCTTGATTGTTGACTTTGACACACATACACCTAACTCCTGGAGAGTGTTATTGATCTGGCCAACTGTTGTGAAGGGTGTTTTCTTCAACAGGGAAAGAATTCTTCGGTCATCCACCACAGTTGTTTTCCGTGGTCTTACGGGTCTTTTGGTGTTGCTGAGCTCACCGGTGCGTTTCTTCTTTTTAAGAATGTTCCAAAGAGTTGTTTTGGCCACGCCTAATGTTTTTGCTATCTCTCTGATGGGTTTGTTTTGTTTTTTCAGCCTAATGATCAGCTTTGACAAAATATTCTTGGAAGCTGACTGGTTTCTATGAAGAAGTGCACCAGCTTTTGCACTCTGCAGTTTTAGTAAATTAACCCCATTGTTTGTGAAATGACCAGACAGTGGCAGAGAAAGCTAGCTGACAGTTGTTGCAGAGTCCCAATTCAAGAAAGTTAGAATTTGTTAAAGTGGTAGAGCCTGCCAGTGGATGGCAGGGCACTCAGGAGTCAATACTGATACAATGGAAACACCATGCCACAACCACAAGCCAAGCCATTGGCTCACAGTTGCAGCAAGCTCTTGAATGGGTTGCTTTTGGTGGTGGTACCACCTGCCAAATGTGGCAGGTGCTATAAGTTTAACCGCAATGCTTCTGTGGTGATGCTACCAATGACCACGTTAACGTTTGGTTACCTCAATTGTCAATTTTTACCGCTCTTTCCCATGGCCACCTATGTAAACGAGGCCTTAGACAAAACACAGCAATATAAAAGCAAAGATAACAGGCTGAAGATTAGGAAAATAAAGATAAAAGCAATATCCAAAAATGAATGAATAGATAGGCGCTGTGATCTTATACTTGGTGTATAGTAACAAATATTACCTGGAAAGTGAAAAAAAAAAAACTCAATTGTGTATCAAAAAAAAAATTCATTAAATGAACAATAACAAATATTAGTGAATAAGCAAAGGAAATATATAAAAATATGAATAAACAAATATTTATTTAAATCTTCATTGCAAAATATGATCTCTAGCACTATGAACGTGTTCAAATGGTGACCATAGTGACCAATGGAAATGACAGTCTATAACTCCACAAAGTGCCAAAACACCATAAACTGCTATCTTCACCACGTGCCCGAATAGTAAGTGAATTGCTCACTCACCAGACTTTTTTGACCCCAGTTACGGTGGTCAGAAAGTGCTTTTGGTAAAAATATGGCAGATGATCAGCCTCTGGTTGTCCTGTGGTATTTCTCCTACTCCTCAATGGACCTCTAGGGATGACATCTGAGAAGATGATATTGGAATTGTTACCAACCACACAGTGTGCAATCGCTCTCCATACTCTTGGTAGAATGTACCCAGCCACTCAAATAAACCAGAGATTTAAGCCATTCTAAGCACAGTATTTTTATTAATAGCATTGGTTTGAAAACAAAAATGTGCACACTCATATGTAAAGGTGCTATGTTTGCCAGCACCAGCATGTACAGCTCTCAGATACAAAAAAGATGGCCGACGTGCATTCCAAGCCTCGCTCGCGCTCACCGGAACCCGGAGGTGACGGAATCACACTTTGTCGTATGTTTCGCCAGGCGGCGTCATCAGGAAGTGACGTCCGCCATAACCGGGCTAAATATATATATATATATATATATATATATATATATATATACGATTGGATAACTCCTAACCAAGAGCGTTTACTAATTGGATGCCTCCGGAAACATGGCCGATACATGGTTTGTGTTGAGCTGTACATACTGCTGCACTGCGACACCCCACCTTCAATGAACATAGATTAGCAACATATGTTGTATCGAACTTTGCTAAATTAATACAACATTGTAATGATAATTGCTATATCATGGGTGTGATTCTAATATTATCAGTCATATTTGGAGTGCACCTGATTGGATTATAAATGCACTCCATACAAACAATTTAAATATATGTTCATGAATGGTAACATTGAATTGAATACATATTAATAGTAAAGAAATATATAATAAAATACTGCTATTAGTTCAATACATAAATCCAAAAAACTATACTAAAAAAGTATACATTATTAAAAAATAATTTAAAAATATACAATAAACTAATAAATGTAAATGAGCAGCAGATTTTTGATAAAGAAATACCAAAACTTAAAGTATATAGAAGATATATTAATTATATCTTCATCATCTGGGAAGGGGGACTACAGGAATTGAAATCCTTCCTAGAATCTATGAACACCAACAAGTATGGAATTAAATTCACCAGTAACATCCAAAAGGAGGCCATCCAGTTTCTAGACTTGGAAGTTTTCCAATATGGTAAAAGATTGTATACAAGGACCTACTTTAAGGATATGGATAGGAATGGGTATATTTGTAATAAGAGCTGTCATCACCCAAAATAGTTGAGAGCGATTCCTAAGGGTCAGTTTATGAGAATAAGGAGAAACTGTAGCAGAAGAGAGGATTATTATGTACAATCAGAGAAATTATTATCTAGATTTTTAGAAAAGGGATACAAGAAAACAGAGTTGGAACAAGTGAGAGAGCAAGTGGGTACTATGGACAGGGATACAATGCTAGTACCTAGAGTTTGGAGAGCCAGTCTTAGAAAAATACCATAGGACAACCAGAGGCTGATCGTCTGCCATATTTTTACCAAAAGCGCTTTCTGACTACCATAACTGGGGTCAAAAAAGTCTGGTGAGTGAACAATTTGCTAATTATTCGGGCACGTGGTGAAGATAGAAGGAGTTTATGGTGTTTTAGCACTTCGTCGAGTTATAGGCTGTCATTTCCATTGGTCACTATGGTCACCATGTGAACACGTTCATGGTGCTAGAGATCATATTTTGCAATGAAGATTTAATTAATTATTTTGGTTATACAGTCAGGTCCATAAATATTGGAACATCAACACAATTCTAACATTTTTGGCTGTATATAGCACCAGAATGGATTTGAAATGAAACGAACAAGATGTGCTTTAATTGCAGACTGTCAGCTTAAATTTGAGGGTATTTACATCCAAATCAGGTGAATGGTGTAGGAATTACAACAGTTTGCATATGTGCCTCCCACT